TTTCTGATGACGATACAATATAGTGCCACTTTAGCCTCATTAGGCACCATTTCGCCGCCCTTTGAACACCATACATTTTTCACTTAAATTTTGGGAAAAAACCTACCCAAAAGCGAATGATGATCCTGCCCATAGGTACAGTACTGATGCCCGCCAGGGGCGATATTTGGGGCCACATAGCAGGCTCTACTCCAAATGCAATGATCTCGCCCCCGACATGGCCAATAGAATGACGTTTCATCCCCTTTGGTATTCACATTGAAGCTCAGAAAGTTGCCAATATTCTTAGGTCCCATGTACATGGCTCTAGGGGACCATTCCGCAAAAGCGCTTAGTCGGAAGACCTTCCTGGTAAGGCCTGTACTCTCACAGGGAGGATTGACATGCGGTCAGCGTCATCCAATCGTTCAGAAGAGTGCAATGCTAGGAGTAACCCTATACACGCAAGTGCAGAGGGGAATCCGGAGTTCGAACTACGCCAACGATCGAAGATCAGGGACGCTGCCGTTTTCGCCAAGGAATCGAAGATAAGGTACGTCATGCGATTTTGCGATGACCGTTGGACCAGAGCGGTTACCGACTGGATCCCTCGGGAACGTCAAACGAACACCAGGACAACCGCCAGCTCGATGGAAAGACGTCTTCATGAAAACTGAAGTAAGAATGCAGGACATGAAGTCTCTCTAGCTGCCAGGGTTCACTGAGCTCCCCTGCCAGGCAATAGGGCTAACGAAGGCGTTACTAACGCACGCTCGAGGCACTCGATGAGCACGGAACGCCAGATTGTACATCTAAAACAGGTATTGCTTCCACGTCAAGAGCGAAGAAAACTATCAGAGCTCTGCTGCAGGGACCTTCAAAATGTTAGGACGGCTCTGAGCTTGTTTGCTAAGTCTAACCATTGGAATAAACTTACTGTGCGCCACTAATCTCGAAAGAGCAATGCCAGAATATGGGCTGCAATCATATGCGACATACTGTTATGAATTTTGATTTGGGAATATCGCCGCTATATGGAAAGTGAAAATTAAATAAATCCTATCCAATTATAAGCTGCACAGTTGGAAACTTGTTAAGGTGCTGGCGAAACGACACCAGAGCGCAGTTTCATTGTCAGGCTTTTTAGTGATCTCGGTAGCACCCCGAAACAATTGCAGAAAAGGGAGGCAGCGCTGTTATTGCGGTACGAATTCGTACATTTGCACGTAGAGAACTGTACAAAAGCCTCCGAAACTTCAGCTAGATCAATCCGGCCAACTATGCTGCTTTTCCTAACGGTGAGCTTGATTTGTTTCTCTTAGTTTCTTTTCCTCTCCAAACCTGAGCCACAAAGGAAACGCATACTGAAGTCGCGTGGTCGCTCGACGGCCACTTCTGCTGAACAACTTACCGTAGACTGTAACATTTCTCTTAAGTATAATAAGTGTAAGTTTATTACGTTTGCGGAAGACATACATAAAAAATAACAGTAAGTAAATTACCAACACAATTACGCTCGCAATAAATAATATCAAGAACAAGGATAAAATATGGCTTCAAAGTCTCAGAAAACGTTAGGACCTGCCACTGTTAACAAATTGACGACACGACGTCTAAATTGTGCCAGCGATATAGTGACGGGAATGTTTTTCACTACCTTCAAATAATCACTGCCGGCCCTAAAGGTGAAACTCCTATCTTCTGTTGAGCAGCGTCTTCTGCACCGCCCCGAAAGTTATTGAATCATGTTCGTCATTTTTTGTGAGAGGACGGCTATGCTTAAAGGCAAACTCCGGAATTAAACTGGTGCTAAGAGCGCTTCGCAGTGATAGCTTAGCTGCGGAACGACCTGAAAGTGGAGAGGAAAGCAAGAGAATCTTTGGGAACGCTGAAATTAAGGCCTTAACCTTCAAAAGGTCGGATGTGGTACGATGGCGAGACAGGGCGATCAAAGAAGGTCAAAACACGCGAGAGAGAACGTCGTTTGAGAGAGCACGCTGATCTCTACATCAATGCACGCTGATCTCACCACATCTCGCGGTGGGTGGGAAGCGTTCGATGGTTGGAGGCCCGTAAGGATTAGCGCCCTAACCGCGCGATTTTCGCGACCAAGTTGAAGTGATCTAGGTAGGTACGGGTCTTACAATTTCCCTCGCGGTATCCTTCCTACTAGTCGGGCTAATCCCAGGGTTTGCCTTTTAAATTGAAGTGTGCACCGTTAATTTCTCAGAATCGGAACATGCTCATAGAGTGAAAGACTTGCCCAAGAGCGTTTCGAGTGCCAGTGCTAGAATGGCCGTGCTTCAAATAATTATACGCAGTAGTATTATACACAGGGAGTATTTTGATGGCAGACTTCTTAAATAGATGTTTTCAGCTTTTTATCTTTGTCCAACTCCACGGAGGCGAGGCGCAACAAAGTGAGTTGGTTAAGGCCTATTGTTTCAGCAAGCATTTAACCATACTCACTTCAGCATTAACTAATCCCATATCGCCTAACCTTTCAAATGATGATTGTCAATATGCACAATTACCGCAGGTTATTTCTTTTCGAGTACTCTGTTGTTTTATACGTATGAGTCACATGTATACGTCTTCAACTGTAGCGCCATGAAATTCAAGTCAAATGTCAGGAGCCTATCAGCTGTGCTCTCGGATGTCAGCAATTTTCAAGTTCCCTTAGGAGTCAGATGTCTCCAAAAAGCAGCCGATTGGTGTATGCCTGATAGGGCCTTTCAGGATATTGGCGGGCCCAGTTTTGGCCGATGTCCCAGAATTGTTTGTCTCCCTTCGGTGCCTTGAACACTGCCCGTCAAAGACATTATGTAGTAAAATTCTAGGACATTCGGACACTCGAACCGGCTCTTCGAGTTGACGGCTCTTTGGAAACATAGAAAAGATTCATGGATTACCTGTTAACAGTTTTAATTGCGGGGTATTATACTTTTGGATCACACCTTTTTCCATTAATTTTTACAGTCTGAGTCAGAATATGGGCTCAAAGCTTTCTGCTACTCATTTCGGTTCAGTGAAATTTATAATACGATTGAAGCAATGGGGCTAGGATAAAGGAGGAGGCTTCGACGTAAGGGAGAAACGAGACGCAGGCAACGGCTTGACGTGTATTCTGAGCAATATTCAGGGGTTTCACGCTGAGAATCTGACAACGTAATAATATGCTGCAATTGTAGCATTAAGTAAGTGGCACACGAAACACTCTAGAAGAATGCAAATGTGCGACTACGAAAAAATCCGTGCCCCAAAGTAAGGGATGTGCAGCTTCTAGGAGTGAAGCAAAAAATTCAAAGCAGCTGACAAGCGCATTCCGCCCTTTGACCTCTCCCTCTACGCTACGATTGCTTCTGCCGATCACCATTGATTCTAGCCAGTTTCAGCAGCAAAGGAGCGAGCGTATTGGTTTTCGTAGCATTTTCTGGGTTTTCCCACTTACAGTGTTTATTATAACGTACGACAAAACTTTTGACCGTCACTTTCGAGGGGCAGAGACAGCGATACATCGGACGTCGTGTGAGGTAAGGATTGATAGTGGAGGCGCGTCCACGCAGACGATAACGCTTTCGCCGCTAACCACAAGGACGCGCAGCCGTGCTGAAAAGTGCCAAATAGAACACTGAGCCTCCTCGGAACACCGACACGCCCACCCTGGGGTCACATGGAGAAGATGGTGAATTGTTCTCTCTAACATGGAAAAGTTCTTAACTTTCTTCTCTGCTGACCGCTATCAGGGTGATGTCGTCAGCGCGGACGATAGCCTTTGGCGCCCCCACCGTAACGTTTACTTAGATTATACTCTAAAGAGCTCCAACCTTTCAGCTATCAATACGACGAAAAGTAGTTTTTTAGGTCAAGGCTTGCTCAAGGACTAGTGCCTAACGGCGTGACTGGGATGCGTGCCCCTGCTGGATCGAATATTTTTTACATGGTGAGCCGTACTGTGTTCAAAGCTTAGAGTTGCATCCGTAGTTCTGATGCAACGCACAAATCTCGCATGATAGCAGATGTTTTCGAGGACAAAAAGGTATTTTGACATTTTGCAGAAATACAGCACGAATCTTGAGAATGCCGCGCAAATGGTTGCGAATAGCTGCTTACCTACCGGCTCTAATGTGACCACTCGTCCTGGTTATGGCGAAAATGTCGCAACCATCCCGCAATACAGCGCTACGTCGCCCGATGTCGCGGTTCAGCAGGTGAAATTCTTCTGATCCTTTTGTTTGTGTGCTGGGACTCTATCGTTGTGCGCACATGTCGATCTTCAGGCAATCAAGCAATTTTGGCATGAAATCTACATGTACAGTGTCAACTCAAAGATGATATTCACTGTCCCTCTTCTTAATAAAGGAACTATGGCACCGCTCAGATTTACCCAAGTGAGTTCCAAAGTTCAACATGCAAATGGATCTATTTCTCAATAAAAATATCGAGTGATTGCCGGTTGAAAAGGCAACATAATTACTCAATCACACATCCATATTCTGGGAGTATGTCAACAGGATCGTCCGGGTCCTCGCGCTACTGATCGTGGCCGCGACGTCGCAATTGCAGTGGACGAGTTTCTGTGAGCGTCATTTGAATTTGAATGTTACAGGGACGTCAAGCAGGCCCGTCCCCTCAAAATATTCAACTTGATCAGGTGCTCCAACCGTCAGTAAAGCTGCTGTCGCGATGCCGCGAAAGTGGCCGCAAGCGGCGGGCGCGACGACCGGACGATTCTGTTGCTCGTTCTCCCATTTCCTGATATCTACAGGCTGATAGGATCAGTGGCTAGAGATAGTAAGCAAGATGGCTGGATGATGGAGGAAGTTTGGAGGGCAAGATGGGTGGATGATGGAGGAAGTTTGAAGGTTTTAATCGGAAGGGCTTCAGGAAGCGCTAGAGCAAGTCAGCGGATCACTTTACAACCCATGCCACCGATGCGGTCTTCAGCTCATCTCCGTCTACCAGCCATCCTTTTTGCTGGTTATAGCACAATCTTGAGTCGGCCTAGCATATTATTGCCTGAATTCTCCACTCACCTCCAAAGCTCGCCGTACTGATTCCGCGACTTGTAGCCTGTAACCTTGTCATTCGCTGTTACTGACATAGAAAATGCTGGTCCTATATTCAGCCCATGATGTTCTTGCTCCAATACCTGCTTCTGATAACGTCGTCAACCTTCGCAGTTCCTTAACACTGGACCTGGAAGTGAAACATCATGAAAGCTAGGGAAAGCGATAATTATTTAGACAATTAGGTTACACTACAGCCTGAAGATGATAATTATCGCATTTACAGCATTTACTGTAGAATTCTTTGCTAGCTTACGTGATGGAAGGATCTAATAGATCGAATGTTTTGTGAAAGAATTCAACCAGTTCTTATAAAACAGGAACCAGATAGTCTTCAAAATTCAAAAATTAGTTTTTCAGATGGCATGGGCTTCCACTTATGAAGTTGGTTGTGGAGTTCAAACTTGTTCGGGCAATTACCTTGTTGTGTGCCGCTACTATCCACGGTCAGGTTTAATTTTGAAAATTTTCAAATGTTCTGCATTTAGGAATCACCAAGAGCTCAGACAACTCGATACATCCACTCTCGCAAGATGGACTTCCATTGAAAGGAACCTTGTTTGAGAAACTTTTGCATTCCTTCAAAACATGTGTCCGTCAGTTCTGGGCTTTCAAGACAGCTGGACGTACAAAAATTCCACGCTGGAAGGTTCATTTTATGAAGAGAAACAAAATTACCTTTATTACACGTCGGCGTGCGATCGGCGCTTTAAAGGAATCTTGCGCGGAAAATTCTTGCACTCTTTCCTAACATGAATATGTCAGTTGTGATCACTGGAAATAGCACACAAAGTTTCACGCATGAAGATTCGGTTTCTGAAGAGAAACAAACGTACAAAAACTACACGTTATGGACCATCGAAGGACCAGGAGGCAGAGCCAGGCGAGGCATGGAAAGAAGACGGCGTTTGGCCGGCTACGTACCAGGCGACGCAATGAGAGAATCGGGTTAAAGCGCGCGATTTCGGAGAGTGGAGACAAATCGATCGATGGAATAGGATGGAGTAGAAGTGTAAGATGTGAATGCAACGAAGCAGAAGGCCAGAAAGAGCTTCTAGTGAATGCACTCCAAGAACCAAGTTTGAGCATCCCCGTCGCCAGCATTCGTGAAAGACGTCCGTGGGCAATTCGAACGCGTAGCAGCCTTTTCGAGTTTTCGAATTTCTAATCAAAACGAAAGCAATACTTCAGTTCTTTTCACTATTATCGTGGATAATGAGTCTCAAGCCAGTGATTTATGGCTGAAATAGAATCATGATTTTTCCGCGCAAGATTCCTTTAAGGTAAGCATAGGGAAATATTACTCGGGTGTCACGTATCAGGCGGACATCATGGAAGATCCAGACAAAGCGCTTTTGAATGGAGAGAAATAGTTAGTGGTGGGAAGGATCGCCAAAAAACAGCCAGCGAAGTCGATGGAGTCCAAGGGGAGCTTTAGAAGGCCATCTCTCAAGACCAAGTGGAATTCTTTCCGGTCCTCCAATATTATAGTTAATTTCGATATATTATTATTTATGTTATTTATGTAATGGGGACTTGAACGTCTCAAACAGCTTCTATTCTTCGATATTATTATATCAGACAAGCGATTTTTTTGCTTTCTTATTCTATGTAGAGCATGGCTCTCACAGGTAGCGAGATACAGGGCGCCCGGAATAGTGATGTTTTTGTAGACGATAACTTTGAAAGTGATTAATTGGTTGGCCAAATGACCTCAACAGGTGATAGGACGCACTCAGCTCACTTGGGAATGATTCCAGGTTGAAGTGACTAAATTTGATGAAAGTTATTCTTTCTTGGAAACCAATAGTTTCAAATCTTTTTTCCAAATTTGATAATCATTGTCTGAACGGAGCTATAAGGAACATGGTGTAGTGCAGCGACAGTGGGCTGGGACGGTAGTAAAGTCCCCTAAATAGCCAGTCTATAGTTGGCCAATAGGTCACGTTGACTCGCCTTCGTCCGCACCTAAAAAGCATTGGGAAAGGCGGGAAACTCGCGCTGACCTGCCGCAATGGGCGAGGTCTAGGCAACATCTTAAGTGGCCAACGTATAGGTGGCACCTTGCCTAGACGGCGAACCGGCAGAGAAAGGGAAAGTGCATGGAGATTGCAGAGACGCAGAGGGTCATGTAGAGGGCGACTAAAATGTACCCCTGAGTACATTTTAGTCGCCGTCTATCTGCGTCTCTTCAATCCCCATGCACTTTCCCCTTTCTCTGCACGTCATGCATTGGTCGCATTGAGCGTCTCTGCGTCCCTGCCATGCGCAGAGCGCAGGGAAGAAGGGGGTTCGTGGAAGGTGTTGAGTGTGGGCAGCAAGAAAGCCACTGGAGCTATCGATAATATTGATAACTTTCTGCCAATAAGGTGATCAGCTGTCCCCTGCAGTGTTCCACTTATTGATCGTGTTATAGCTCCTTCCTTGGTCCTGGGAGCATTTCACTACTGTACAATCATCTAGGCCATGATCCACGTTCAAACACGTCGATTGGCGCAGTGGGTTCTTGTTGACATTGGATCGCTCGCGGGATCAATTCTCCATGATACTGGATGTTTTGCAACCCTCATAGGTTACTACCTTGCTTTCTACAATTCTTTCAAAGTAACCAGCAATGCTTTGTGGTGCAGTGGCAAACGTCGCGCTCATGGGCGCTGCATTACATGGTTCAAGTCCATGGCGACGCGACTTTTGCTAGGAATGTAGTGAAGTTCGCCATTCAGAGCGGGGTCATCTGGCTGTCTCGCCTTTCATTATTCACCGCTTACGGCCGTAGTTCACCACCTTTAACTCCCAGTCTATGGCACTTTACTACCGTCCCTGGCGATTTAGAAACTCAAATTAGCAGGAGTATCCTCCTAATCGCTAGAGTCCGTTCCTCTTGGTACGCGAGCCAGCGAGAGAATAGCACTGTCGTGTAATGCAGCTCTGAGCATTTGCGATCCACCACGAAGTCCCCTCGGAAGAGTA